TCTTAAAGATTGCTCTCAAGTAAAGTGTGCTGTTGAGCTGCTTGGTGAATTTTCTTCAGCTTCAGGTCTCAATCTTAATTTATCTAAATGTGAGTTACTTCCTATTAAAACTTGTCATGACACAGAAATCTCAGGAATTCCAGTAAAACACAAAGTTAAATATCTTGGTATTTATATCATAAAAGAAGAGGACCAAAGATTAAGTGAAAACTTCAATCCTCTTGTTACTGTAATCCAAAAGAAATTGAATTTATGGGTCTAGAGAGATTTATCCATCTCCGGTCGTGTGTTACTCTCTAAGGCTGAAGGTCTTTCCAGTTTGGTGTCTGTGACTTCTGACCTTGAGGTTTCCAAGGATATCATTTCAAAAGTGGACAAAACTTTATTTGATTTTATTTGGAAGAAAATGTTCATCTAATCCGGAAAAATGTAATGATAAATCATCTGTGCTCTGGTGGGTTTAATGTGCTAGACTTACAGACTCTAAACTCTTCCTTTAAAATCAAGTGGATCAAAAGAGATCTCCTAAATCCAAACTCTTTATGGAACTTTATTTCGACACGTATTTGAAGCATTGGGTGGTTTATCTTTTATTTTAAGGTGCAACTATAGCATTGAGAAAATCCCGGTCAAACTCTCCAATTTCCACAAGCAGCTGCTTTTATGTTGGACTTTGGTTCAAAAACACAATTTCTCCCCACACAAATATTATATCTGGAACAACAAAGACATATGTTTTAAACACAAATCCATTTTTTTCAAAAAATGGTTTGACAGAGGCATCGTTCATGTACATCAACTATTCAACAAAGAGGGCAACACTTACTCTTATAGTGAATTTTTAACTACAGTACATATAATTTTCCAGTACTGCCGAGAGAATTTGCAGTTGTGTTTGACGCCGTTCCATCTGGTGTGAAAATACTGATGTCAAACTCTGTACAAAATAACACGAACTATTTAACTGAAGAATTATTCATTGGAAACTCTGACTAATTTTTAAGCAAAAAAAAAAAAATAAATAACAAATGTATTAGAGAATTAATAATTAGAAACTGTATCAGTAAACCTGCTTCTGTATTCTTCTGGGATAATTCATTTAATGATATTTGTTGGAAAAATGTTTGTTTGTTGCCTAGAAAATATTAAATAACTAATAAGATTCAAGAAGTGTCTCTAAAGATTCTGCATGAATGCTCTCCTGTCAATCGTATAATCTCCAAGTACCGTCCGAATGTAGAGCCAATGTGTTCACTGTGCCACAGCTCTGAGGAGACGACATCATCTGTTCCGGGACTGTCCTAATACTCAGCTGTTCTGGAAAAACATCTTCTTGTTTGTGAATAGAAAGTTAGAAATTGACCTACAATTTGATGCTAAAACTATACTGTTTTTTTTTTGTTTGTTTGTTTGAATATTCCAAGTTAGAAAGTTTTTGTTGTAAATTTAATACTAATATTAGCCAAATTTCACATCAACAGCTGTAAATTTGCCATGCTAAAACCTAGATTTATAGTTTTTTTTTCTACTTATCTTTCTTCGTATGTGTCTACTTTAAAGTATTGTCCCAATGCAAAATCCATAAAAACTCAAACACTCTGTAACGAATTTATATTGTTAACTGTCCAAAACATAATCTCATGTTATTATTTACTTATATTTTTCTTTTTTGTTACGCCTGCCTTAAGTCTCGAGCTATGTGTGCCATTGTAGTTAGTTTTTTTTGTTTTTGTTTTGTATTTGTCTTGTAGTTTTTTTTTTTTAACTTGTTTTGTATAAAAAAATATTAAAAAATAAAAATAAAAATAAATAAAAAATCTACCTGGACCCATAGATATGATCACTAGATCCCTCATTGGCTGCTGCGGAGCAGGATTTTCGGCCACCATCTTGGAACGGTCGTCCTTATTTGGTTAAAGCAGAAGACGTCTCAGCACTTCGCAGCTTATTTCTGTTCTAATCGACGGACTGTTGACGTCAGGTCTCGGGAGATAACTTTTCACAGTAAGATGAACATAGTATTGTTAGTATTTTGTGAATAGAATATTACTGTACTGTATTTATGTCCACCAGCTGATTTTATGTTCAGTGTAACACGATGTTCAGCTGCAATGAAGCTGACTGAGAACTGATGACAGGAATATTTTGCTAACAAACGTACTCACTATTTTAGTAGCTTTGGTTCATTATCAAGAGATATGTATCATAATTGGAATTTTGTTTAAGTTGTTTTTGTGAAGACACAAATCTCCTATTTTCATTGTGAAGGTTTCCCAAAGAACAAGATGTGAGGAAGAGGAGGAAGTATCTTTGAGGAGGATTCATCTGAGCAGTGAGGATTTTAAACTGGAGGATTTTGATCAAACTGATCAGACTGTCCGACTGAGAGATGGTGTGGTACCATCGGTTCACCTTCAAAGAGTAGGAGCATCATTATAAGTTCATTAGAGTTCATAAAGTTACATATTTTATTGTCAGTCACAAGGTGAGACACCTCCATGTGTTTATATGAACAGGTAACTATAGACTGTAAAGTTCATATTCATGATGTTTTTTCATTTCAGCTTGAAAACTGCAGGACTACAGGAACTCAACAAAAGCTGCAGCTGCTCTGTCTGTGGCCTCTCAGGAACGTGCACGTCACACACACACTCTCAGGAACGTGCACGTCACACACTTAACCTCGGCCTCATGATGTGAGTATTTCTATTTTAAACTTTTATTTTTTCATTGACCTTTATTTATCCAGGTAGTCTCACTGAGTCACGAGAACTCATTTTAAAGAGAGACCTGTTTAGGAGCAGATGGTGGGGGTTGAGTGCCTTGCTCAGGGGACCAGGGTGGGGCCAATGAGGGTGGAGGCAGGTGTGGGTGTTTCACCTTTTCCACCTCATTTTGATGTTGACGGTACCAGGAGTTGAACCTGCGACTTTCCGATCACAGGCCCATCTTCTAACCTCTGCTCCACCACTCCCCCCATAACATCATATCATACTGGTCGTATTAAAATCTCACTGGTTTCCTTCCAGATGTGTTAAACAGCTGCTGGTCCCCCTGATGTTTCCAGGTGTCTGTGGTCAGTGGATGAAAAGCCTGGC